TGAGCCAAAATAAACTTTTAAGTTGATTATCTCAAGTATTTAAAAAAATGTTTTTTTAATTGTTGATGGACCTTTATTTTATTCATTTATTTACATGCAATGCTAAGAATTAAACCCAGTGCCTCACACATGTGAGGCAAGTGCTCTACCACTGAGCCACAAACCCAGCCACTATCTCAGGTATTTTGTGAAGGAAAGTAGACTAACACACTTTGCCTACTCTTTCCTTTATAAACTTTTTAATTTTTAAAAACTTTTAACTCTTATAGTGACACTTAGCTTAAGATACAATATATAGCTGGACATTCTCTCTTTATAGCCTTATCCTATAAGCTTTTCCTACTTAAAAACTTTAAATTTTTTGCTTTTTAAAGTTTGTTGCTGTTGTTAAAAACTAAGACATGAACATACACATTAGCCTTGCCCACACAGGGGCAGGATCAGTATTGCTGTATCATTGTCTCTACCTCTACATCTTGTCCCACTGGAAGGTCTTCAGGGCAATAACATGCACAGAGCTGTCACCTCTTATGATAACGATGCTTTCTTCTGAAATCCCTCCTGAAGGACCTGTCTGAGGCTTTGCTTGAGCAGTCCATGGTGGTTTGCTTGGTTTGTTTTTCTTTTCTTTTCTTTTCCTTTCCCCTCCCTCCCTTCCTTCCTTTTTTTGGTACTGGGGATTGAACTCAAGGGCACTCAACCACTAAGCCACATTCCCAAGCCCCATTTTGTATTTTATTCAGAGACAGGGTCTTCTCACTGACTTGCTTAGCACCTTGCTTTTGCTGAGGCTGGCTTTGAACTCGTGATCCTCCTGCCTCAGCCTCCTGAGCTACTGGGATTACAGGCATGTGCCACTGTACCCAGTGCTGTTTTTTTTTTTTTTTTTTTCTTTTTAAATTATAGATTTGCTTGTAAGCAGATGATGCAACATGAACATTTCCTCTTAATTAACGAAAACCTTATGTGTTGGGGTCCATGTTTTCAAATCTTTTTTTTTTTTTTTTGTGGTGCTGGGGACTGAACCCAGGGCTTCACCCATATTAAGCAAGTGCTCTGCTACTGAATAACATCCCCAGACCTTCTCTGTTCTTGTTAACTAGCACACTATATCCAATCATACTCTCGCTGGCTGATAAATCTCTATTTCACAGAGGAAAATAGAATAGGAATTCCTTCACTGAGCCGACCAATGTACTCATCTCAACACACATGCTTCCCTTTTGACACACTGCAGGTGTCCTTCCAAATTTTATACCTTTATTTTATTTTATATGTGGTGCTGAGAATCGAACTCAGGAGAGCACTCTACTGATAAGCCACAACCCCAGCCCATCCTTCCACGTTTTATTTTTTTTTTATATTTTAGTTGTTGATAGACCTTTATTTATTTATATGTGGTGCTTAGAATCAAACCTAGTGCTCATACATGCCAGGCAAATGCGCTACTCCTGAGCCCCAGCCCAGCCCATCCTTCCATATTTTAAAGTGAACTTCTCCACCAATCCTTTGGAACCTTTCTTATTCTTTTTTTCAGAATCATTTTCTTGGTTATCTTCTTTCTTCTCTAATTTTATCTTTTTCCTCTTTGCTGAAACTGTGTCAACAGCATCTCACCCATCTGAATAAAAACTCATGTCTCTTAGCAACTGCTTTCTCTGTTTCCTACTCAGCATGGCCAAATTTCTTTTATTTTTATTTTTTGCAGTACTAAGGATTGAACCTAGGGGTGCTTTACCACTGAACTATATCCCCAATCCTTTTTATTTTTTATGTATTATTATGATGATTATTTGGTACCAGGGATTGAACCTACAAGTGCTTTACTGAGCTTCATCCAGTTCCTTTTTGAGACAGGTCTCATTAAATTGCAGAGCCCAGCCTCCAACTTATGATCTTCCTGTCTCAGCCTCCTAAATTGCTGGGATTACAGGCAACTATGCCCCACTAAATGGCCAAATTTTTTGCATTCTAGGTGAGTGCTCTACCACTGGGATACCTCAGCCCAAACTTCTTGAAAAAAATGCTACAAATGCAATCTTCACTTCCTCATCATCCTGTCTACTTCTCAAGTCATTGTTGTTTGACCTCTGTTCTCATCATTCCATAGAAACTGCACTTGCAAAGATCACCAACTTCCCTGTTTCTAAATCCAGTGGATTCTTTCCAACCTTATTTTGCTTGATTCATTACTGGCCTTCGAGATTTTCCTTCCTTGGATTCTGAGACACCAGATTCTATTACTGATATGGTCTGGATGTGAGGTGTCCCCCAGTAGCTCACGTGTGAGACAATGCAAGAAGGTTCAGAGGAGAAATGTTTGGGTTGTGAGAGTCTTAACCCAATCAGTGATTAATCTCCTGACAGGGACTGAGTAGTAACTAAAGTGGTAGGGTATGGGTGGAGGAGATGGGAATTGGGGACATGGCCTTGGGGTATATATTTGCATCTGGCAAGTGGAGACCTCTCTCTCTGCTTCCTGATCGTCATATGAGCTGCTTCCCTCCACCACATTCTTCTGCTATGATGTCTTGCCTTACCTGGAGACTTGAGGGATACAGCCTGTTGTCTATGGAAACCATGAGCTCTCAAATAAACCTCTACAATTGTAGTGGTTGGGTCTTTTAGTCACAGAAGTGAAAAATGCTGACTACAATTATCCTTTATATGTTTACCATTTTGAACACTTCATCTCAATGACCTGTGCAGGTTTATCCTTCTTTGCCAGACCTTCAATCTTGGGTTCTTCTCAGAATTTTGTCCTAGGCCTTCTTCTTTTCTTACTCTACATATGCCCCCTGGGCAAGCTCAACAAATCTACTGTTGTGGCTGCCATGTACAAGGTCCTACCTACCTTTGCATTCCTACTTCCAGTTTATACTTATCTTGTGAATTCCAGTCAGGAATGTTTAGCTGCCTCCTAGATGTTCCACTGGCACCTCAAACTCAGTGCCCAGAACGAACTCCCTCCTAAAAGCCTTGTTTCCTCTACTTCATGTTTTCCCAGATCAGGGATTCAGAAGTCATCCATCATTTCTCCTACTTCCCCACACTCAAGCATTCACCAAGCCCTGGTCCTTCTGGCTATAAATGTCTAAGGAATCCATCCCCTTCTCTCCATTTCAGCTGCCACTCCATGCTTCATGCCACCATAATCCCCACCATTCAAACAACTCTTAACTGATCTCTTCCTTCTCCCAATCCTCAATCCATTCTCTGCACAGTTCTAAAACACATACTATTCATATGTAAATACACAGCCAGTGTAACTCCACATCATGTACAACCACAAGAATGGGAAGTTAGCTGGGCATGGTGGCACGTGCCTGTAATCCCAGTGCCTCCGGAGGCTAAGGCAGAAGGACCAGGAGTTCAAAGCCAGCCTCATCAAAAGTGAGGCACTAAGCAACTCAGTGAGACCCTGTCTCTAAGTAAAATACAAAATGGGGCTGGGGATGTGGCTCAGTGGTCGAGTGCCCTTGATTTCAATCCCCAGTACCCCAAAAAACAAAACAAAACATGGGAAGCTTTAGTCCATGTAAGTATGTCAAAATACACTCTATTAAAAAATACACTCTATTATCACATATAACTAAAATGAACAAATAAAAAATTTAAAAAATAAATAAAACACACACTGGATCATTACCCCATAGCTTAAAGGCCTACAATGACTCCCTACTGCCCTCATGATAAATCTAAGCCTTTGCACTCTTAGATGTTAAATTCATAGGAAAATTTTTACCATCAACAAGATCTACTTAAAGTTCACACTGATCTTGGCATCAAATCCGGGGCCTGTTCTTCCAAAGTTTCTCTCACATTAATCTCTCTTCTGGCCTGAAGATGCTTCATGGAATTTCTGGCACTCACCTGGCACTTTCCCTTCTTTGAGCTTCTCCAAGGAGGCCTTTTCCCTCTTCATCTCCATGGGTCTTTCAAAACCCAGCTTAAGAACCATCTCCACTATCATAAATGCCCCCTTTCTGGCTCTGAACTTATAAAAATCTGACTCTTCTGTAGTATTTATCCCCTGCATAGAATTAGAGTTGGTTCATATGTGGTTTCTCTCCCTCTCTCGATAAGAATTATATAAATTGGAGCCAGGAGCAGTGGTTCAATCCTGTAATCTTAGCTACTTGGGGGGACTGAGGTAGGAGGATCACAAGTTCGAAGCCAGCCCGGGTAATTTGGGGAGACCCTGTCGTAAAATATATAAATTAAAAGGGGAGGTTGATCAGTGATAAAGTGCTTGCTTAGCATGTGCAAGGCCCTGGAGATTCAATCCCAGTACTGCAAACAAAACAAAACAAACAAAAGATTTATGTAAGTTAAAAGCTTGATCCTCATTAGGGCCCAAGGAACCTCAGCCCAGTCTCTGGCACATATTAAGTGTTCAGTAAATGTTTGTTAAATGCGTGGATAAATCCAAGAAAGCTAGTCCCTCAGTGTTCCCCACCAACAGGGCATTTTCTCAAGTCATTAACTTTAAACCGCCTCTCACCCACCCAGCCAGACGGAATTCCCCTCGACCCCACTGGATGGAGAATGGGTTAGCACCCGCCGCCAAGGCGGTTTTGTAGGGTTTTCTACCTCCAGCCCCGGAGCTGTGGCTGGTAGTGGATAGTGGAGGTAGCCAGACGATGAAAATCAAAGGGCACAGTCTTTGCCGAATACTGACAGACGCTATCGGGAGAGGAGAAAACCTGGAGGTTCGCAGACTACGACTCTCCGGCGGCTTCCTACCTACAGGGCGGCGAGAGGTGGGGGGGACTTTTCCTGACCGGCGTCCTGACTGACCAATACCTGGTCCAGATCAAGAGAGCCAGCCAATGGATGAGGGCCAGAGAAAGAGAGGGGTGGGGCATGGTTGCTACAGGGGTGAGGCGTGAGACTCCGAGTGACTCGGGGGTTGCTAGGGAGGGAGGTCACAGAGCGCGGCTCAGGGATTGGGCAGTGTCGGGGGAGGAGGTGGAGACTGGGCGGTGCCCAGGAGGCGCCCCGGCGAGGCGCGGGTGCGCGAGTGAGCGGGCCAGAGGTCCGGCTGTAGGCCCGTGCTGAGGGCCGGCACCTTCATCATGGCCTGGGCTGACCTGGACTACACCATCGAGATCCCGGATCAGCCCTGCTGGAGCCAGAGTATGGATCGAGGGTTGGGTCCTGTCGTGGGGAGGTGACCTAACAAGTCTGAGGGTCGCGAGCGCAGCTGTAGCTCTGCCGGTCTCGCGGCCCCGCCCTCTCGCGTCCCGCCCCCTCGCAGGGTCCTGCAGGTCCTAGACTTTGTGGGGCGCAGAGAGCCCCGCCCTTTTGTGGGCCCCACCCAGAACGCTCCTCCTCCCAGAGCGTCGCCCCTTCCTGCGTCAGCGTCTGCTGAATCGGGGTCTCTTTTTCTGCTTTTGTAATCCGTAGTTCTCCGGCCCATGCCATTTTTGTTCTGGTAGTAGCTGGAGAATGCCTGGGGTAGGGTTCTTTCTGATTCCTTTGTTTGGGATTGGGCTTCCCTCTTCTCGCCTCTCTTCTCCACTTGTGGCTAGGGGCCCTAGTGTTCCCGAAGGAACATTCGTTCCAGGGGTCTCTGGTCCTCGAAGAAGCCAGGAATGCAGAAGGGCTAGTCTTCCCTCTCCACTTTTCTTGACAGTGGTTAATAAACCAGTTTCGTCCGTCAGGTAGAACTCTGTTGAAACCCTTGACTCCTCCTTTTTAGTAATTGGATGATTTTTGGTAAGCTACCCACTTCAGTTTATTCCTCATCAAAATGAAGGTAACTGTAGCAAACACCCCCACTGAGTTGTTGATCACACAACTAGGATTATTTATGTGACGAGCCTGGCATAGGGCCTTGCCTGCAATGAATTTAGAAATTGGCATTTAGGATTGGCATTATCTCCTCCCTCTCCTGTCATAATATTGAAGAAAGATGTGTGGTAGACTTCACAAAATTGTTAGTTTTTAAAACTCTCCTGAGTCCATGGCAGTGTATGTTGGGTAGCCTGTAGAATGGAAGGAAAGTTGTCCCTGCTGGGAATTATGTTAGTGGAGTGTACAGGTCAGCCTGGGCCCAGCCTATCTGGCCTTTATTTCTCCAGCATTGCATTCAGGCCTCCAGTCTCACTGCCAGCAGCTCAACTTCTTATATTGCTACCATAGTGATCTTCCAGATGCAAAGGTTTGAGCTCTTCACCGCTTTTCATAAAACCCTTCAGTGGCTCCTTATTGCCCTTGGAATAAATCAAGTCCAGATTCCTTAGTATGGCATTCAAAGTCCTTCATAATTTAGCAGCCCTTGCTTACCTCTTTGATCACTGTCCTTCCGTTGTTTAGTATGAATTTTATGTTCTGGCAACACCAAATGGCTGTGATTCTCCACACATTTCTTGCTTCTCTGCCTTTGCTTCTGCTCTTTCTTCTGTCTGGAATGCCCTTTCCCCTCTGCTGGCCTGCTGTGCCTCCACTTGCATCCAGCTCACCATGTAAGGCTTAGCTCAGATGTTGCCTCCTTCAGGAGAGTCTTCCCAGACTCCTCCTGTAGAATTTTGTTGTTGTTGTTGATCTCTCTTTTTTATTGATGCATACATCCTGTGGCATCTTGTGTTCTTTGGTTAAAGTCTGAGAGGTCAGCTCCTAGACTTCCAAAAGGTAACATGGCTCTGACTACCTAGAACTCAATCTGTTGGTTTAGGGCTGTTGAGCTTATAGATGTAAAAATACTTTTGAAAAGTTAAGTCAGTTAATAGTTTTATCCTTCGAAAGCCTTCAGCTGCAAAGGCTCTGGATCTGCCTTCTGCGTGGTGAGGAGGACAGAAATTCTCTTTCTCCCCAGGTGGGCAGCCAGAAAATCTTGGTTCTCATTTATGCTTTACCTCTTACTAGCTCTATGGCTTTGGCAAGCTATTGAACCTCTCTGAGCTTCAGATTCCTCCTTAATAATAAGGGTTATTAGGGCAGTGATTGAATATATGTGCCTGGCATAGTGCAAGTGCTGAGTGCATTTCCTCTCTTAGGCCTTCCCTTATGGCCTCCAGAGACTCAGGCTTAGAATTTTTTCTTGTACCCCTTTGCCAGCATGAGTGCATTCTGTTGCTAGCAGCCCCCCCCCCCAAAACAAAACAAAACAAAACAAAACAAAACAAACAAACAAACAAAAAAACATCCCGGTCTGTTGGAGGCAACTGGGATTGTTAGAAAGCACTTCCCTTTCTGGAACCACAATAGGCCTTCCTGTCATTTCCATTCTCAATTCAGCATTTGCTGTGTCCTGGCCTTTGGTTTGTTGGTGCCACCTCAGAAATGATTCATAGACAGGCAGCCTTCAGGAAGCTGTGGTTTTTGGGGAGGGAATGAAAATTCTTAAGCAGGTGGTTTCAAAATGATATGGTCACTATAGGGCTAGGGATTGTTGTGGTGGTGACAACACAGAGCAAGAAATCCATATTCCTCTTTTCAAGAGTCAGTGTCTCTTGAAGAAATACCTCCAGAGATTTTGGTTGTTCCTCTACCATCTGACTGTGCTGACCTACTGCTTTATTTCTTCCTGTCCTTCCCTCTCACAGTGCATGGTCCCACAACTGAGCTGGAGATTGCAGAACCCCTCAGAAGGATGTCAGGACACTGTGATCCCCTGAATCCATTTGTTCCCTCTGCAGAGTGCTCCCCTCCAGGCCGACATGGCTGCACAGAGTGACAGTCTTCAGGGACCCTAGAGATTATTTCTCTTCTGCAGTGGTGAAGTATGTAGGATGGTCATATTTAGTTTTGGAATTGCTTTCTCCCAATATTTGAAACCCAAACTCCAGAGCCGGCACTGCTATTAGTTGACAGAGAGGTGAGCAGCTGATGCTGGCACATCCATTAACTGGAAGGCAGCTGCAGATTTGAGTCATTCAGAGCCCTGGGTTTTGTGGGCCAGGTTGGGCAGCAGAGGATCCTCCGCTGGGAATTCTACCAGCCAGTATGTGTGGTTGCCTGTGCCCAGGATAGTCCACCTGGCCTTTGATCTGGAATCTGTCCTTCCTTTCATTTTCTTGGGCCAGGGATCCCCTTGTTCTCCTAATCCCCAGCTCCCTTTCATTTCTTTGGGTGAAGGTTGTGTCCTGGGGGCTCCCACAGCACTGTATTGCCTTATGTAGTGCCTTTGACAGTTTTACTCATTGTTGCCAGGGCCTGGCAGTGATGAGGTGCCAAGCTAGCTGATTGGAGTCACTTGGAAGTACTGTGGGTCCAAGTCAGAGCTGCTCTGACATCCCAGCTGGGCTGTGCCACCCCTCCTCCCATTTCCCATCAGAGAATGGTCAGCTGAGTCCCACTCAGGTCCCCTCTTTTTTTTTTTTTTTTTTAGGGTTGAGGTTGGAACCCAGGCCCTCTCACATGCTAGGCAAATGTTCTACCACTGAGCTACAACCGAGCCCATGCTGCCTTCTTCTTCTTCTTCTTCTTTTTTTTTTTTAATATTGTGTTTTTAGTTGTAGTTGGACACAGTACCTTTATTTTATTTTTATATGTGGTGCTGAGGATCGAACCCAAGGACTTGCATGTGCCAGGCAAGCGCTCTACCGCTCTACCCCACCCCTAAGCAGCTTTTTTAAAGGCACTTTGAGCTACTTTCATGTTCAATGAACATTTAAAAAAGTTATTTATTCATAGAATTAATAGGGCTGGGGTCCTGGGCTGGAGACAGTTGTCTTGCTCTTAAAGTAAACAGAGGCCTCAAGGAGATCACAGAGAAGGGAGGTGAGGGGCTTTAGATCCCTAGATTTTATTATGAGTCTGCTCTTTTTTAGTCACCGGCCATGGTCAAAGAGCTGTACTATCTTTTTAACCCTCAGAGGAAGCTTTCACTGGTGCCAGGGAAACTGCTGAGGTCTGGACCACTGTGGGGGTCATTATGGGAGATGGAGCTTGGGGAGACTGACTGACCTGTGGTGAGCAGAGAAAGTATAGAAGGGCTCTGAGGGAGGACTTGGAGTGAAGTGGCTGGAGGGGGACAGGCCCTGGCAGGAGGCTGAGGTGTACTTTGGGTAGAGGAAGGTGAGTGGAAACCCTCAAGAGCTGTTAGGTCTAAAAGATCCAGGAGAAGACTCTATCCTCATCTTGTCTTTGCATCCTCAAAGGCTGTTGCAGCCTCCTTCTTCTCCCTCTTCCAGAGGAGTTTCATTTTTTTTTTTTTTTAGTCCTAATGCCTTTTCTTTCAACCATTAATAAAAGACCCTTTCCAAGTGCCCACTCTATGCCAGGTGCTATATTAGGCCCTGCATTCGAGGTCCAAGCTGATGCACCCTTTTCAGGCCTTTTTCTCTGACACAATTGACTGTGTCAATTGATATGCTGACCTGCCTTTCATTATTTTATTAATCCTCACAACCATCTTGTGAAGTAGGGGTTCTCTTAATCCCAGTTTACAATGAGGAACAGATGAATGGGGGAGGTGAAGTATTTTGCCCAAAGTAATTCCAGATTTCAGCTTAAGAGCCTTACTCTACATCTTGTGCATGCAGATTTCAGTTGCCATTAGAAAGAGCTGCCTGAGTACAATGCCATTTCTAGGAAACAGTGAGAGGCATGCACAAAGAAAGGGGTGTCCATTCAAGTATTTTTTATTACAGCCCCAGATTGGAAACAACATCATGTCTAATAATAGGAGATTGGTCTCCATAAATTATGAAACATTCTATAGCTGCTCTGCAGCCACTAAAAATAATGGTGTAGAAATATATAAACTGACAGGGAAAGATGTTCACAATATATTGCTAAACGGAAGAAAGCAGATTACAAACAGTATGATTCCAATTTTATTAGGTATTCATTTTCTGTTTTTTCTACAGTGAACATGCATTACTGGTGAAGTAATAATAATTTTGACTTATTGAACTCTTTCTTTGTGCCCGGTACCTTGCTAAGCCCTCCATAGTCATATCTTATTGAATTCTTTGTATTATTGTCCCCATTTCACAGATATGGAAATTAAAACTTAGAGAATTTGCTTAAGGTCTGTTGCATAGTTATCAGATGGCAGAGCCAGAGATTGGAACCCAGGTATAGTTTTGTGTGGTATGTACTCTTAGATGCTACACTACTCTCTTATGCTGTTATTTTGAAAATTAAATGTAAAATAAAGTAATTTGGTTTAAATATAGGAGCAGCAAGACTCTGGAAAATTTTCTGGAGAGTAGAGAAAATTAAGGATCCTTTTATTCTTCTTTTTTGATCCTTTTATTCTTTACATTTAAAAATAACATAGACATAGATTCTTTGTATTTTGCTTCTGGCTTGCAAATAAAAAGCATATATTGTACCACAGACCCTTATGCCTTGTCAGGCCTCTTCTTTGTCGTCCCCACTTGCCCCTGGGACATCCACAATCTAATTCATGCCTTAGTTTTATGACTGGAACTGTTGTACAGTATACTTAGTTATAATTCTTGTATTCTTGGTGTCAGTGTTATTTGTTGAGAAATTCTAGATGACAGGGATCCTGGGAGACTAAATTGTTATGTGGAGTGCTCAAGAAGTGCCAGGGAAGAGATAGGTGTGGTGGTGCATGCCTGTAATCCCAGCAAATTGGGAGGCTGAGGTAGGAAAATCCAAGTTTGAGACCAGCCTTTCCAATTTAGTGAGACCCTTTCTTAAAAATAAAAAAAAATAAAAAGGTCTAGGGATGTGGAGCACCCCTGGGTTCAATAATGAGTATCACCATCAAAAAAAAAAAAAAAAAAAAAAAGAAAGAAAGAAAAAGAAAAGAAAAAAAAGAAGAAAAGTTCTAGGATAGAAAAGAAAGTTCCCCATTGCCAAGGGGCTTCTGGGTATCCTTGACCTCTTTGGACTTGAACTGCTTTGATTAGACCACCTCCCCTATTGTTGTTTTGAAATAACATTTTAACTCTCATTGCAAAAGTGATACATATTGACTTTAAATCTTTTTTTTTTTTTGGCAGTGCTGGGATCAAACCCAGAACTCCACCACTGAGCTACATTCATAGCCCCAATATTTATTTTAGAAAATGGGCCTAAAATAAAGTCATGAAAAATAATTTTTTTCTGATCTCAGAAATACTTGCTATTTATATTTTCAATGCATAACTTGTGTGTGTATGTTTTTTTTTTTAGAGAGAGAGAGAGAGAATTTTTTAATATTTATTTTTTAGTTTTCAGCGGACACAACATCTTTGTTTGTATGTGGTGCTGAGGATCGAACCTGGGCCACATGCATGCCAGGCGAGTGCGCTACCACTTGAGCCACATCCCCAGCCCCATGAGTGTGTTTTAAAGGGATATTCTGTAGTGATTCTACTTTGCAATTTGCTTTTTCACATAATGTATTACTATTTAAAAATAATAACACAAATATAATTCACATGACACAAAATTTACCCTTTTAACATATGCAGTTTAGACTGTGGATATAACTCAATGGTAGAAGACCTGCCTAGCATGCGTAAAGCCATGGGTTCAATTCCCAGTAACACATACACACACACACACACACACACACAAAAGGCATGCTGGTACACACCTGTAATCCCAGTGACTCAGGAGGCTGTGGGAAAAGAATCACAAGTTTGAAGCCAGCCTCAGCAATTTAGTGAGGCCCCAAGCAACTTAGTGAGACCCTGTTTCAAAAAACAAATTAAAAAAGGGATGGGGATGTGACTCAGTGGTTAAGCACTTCTGGGTTCAATCCTAGGTAAAAAAAAAAAAGTGCAGTCCATTGGCTTTTAGTATATTCTCAGAATTGTGAGACCATCACCACTATCTAATTCCAGAACACTTTCATCACAGAAAAAGAAATCTCATACCCATTAGTAGTCATTCCCCATTCCCTCGTCTAGCTACTTTCTGTCTCTATGAATTTGCCTATTCTGGATTTCCCCCCTCCCTCAGTACTGGGGATTGATCTATCACTGAGCTATACCCCTAACCCTTCTTATTCTCTCTTGCTAAATTGCAGAGGCTGAATTTGTGATTCTTCTCCCAGCCTCTGTCATTGGGATTATAGCCATGTGCCACTGTGCCCAGCTCAGCTTGAATATTTTATATAAATGGAACCATATGATATGTGGCCTTTTGTGTCTGACTGCTCTTATTTAACATAATGTTTTCAAGATTCATTCATGTTGGAGCATGGGTAGTATTTGATTCCTTTTTATGACTGAATAGTATTCCATTGAATGGATATATCACATTTTGTTTTATCCATTCACAGTTGATGGAATTGTTTCTACTTTGTGTCTGTTATCAAGTGCTACAATGAAAATTCATGTACAAGTTTTTTTTTTTATTTTTAGTTATACATGACAGTAGAGTGTATTTTGGCAGAATATACATACATAAAGTATAACTTATTCTATTAGGTTCCCAGTCTTATAGTCATACATGATGTGGAGTTACCCTGGTTGTGTATACAAATACAAAGCTAGGAAAGTTATGACTAATATGTACAAGTTTTTTGTGTGGACATGTTGTTTTCAGTTCTGTTAGGTCCATATCTAGGAGTGGAATTGCTGGGTCATATAGTAACTCTGTTTAATTTTTTTGAGGAACTGCCAAACTATTTTCCAAAGTGGCTCTATTTTACATTCCCACCAACAGTTTATGAAAGTTTTTATTTCTCCACATCCTCATTACTTGCTATTATCTGACTTTTTACAGCCATGCTAATGGGCACAAAGTGATACCTCATTGTGGGTTAGACTTTAATTTCTCTAATCTTTTCATGTACTTATTGGCTATTTGT